ATAATTGCAAAGAAAATGACACCTGCAAAGAACTACAGACAACTGCACAAAGTGACTACTCTCAAACAGTGAATGGGCATATCATCTCTCCAATCTTCCTCAACAAAAGCAAATGAAGGAAGGTAAGTACTTACCCATAAATTCCCTTTCAAGAAGCCAATAGAGTTTATGGCATTGTGAGCCAGATCTAGAAATGATATGCTAAGCATAAGGCCTGCAGCGAAGCCCTACATAATTTAACAAAAACTTTAGGAATTCTTATACTGTTTAACAAAGAAGCAAATTGAACAATATTCTCCTTGACATGCATAATTCCATTACACACATAAGTCTGAGAAGCATGTTCTTCACATATTATTGTACCAAAAGGTTAGGGCCAAGAGCTGCAAAGACTAAAAGTAGCGAAAATTCAATAACCTAGATCTTTAAAGTATGTTGCATTTCAAATAACAAAGTTATGCACCTGCAACAGCCCAAGCATCTTCAAGTTTGGTGCGTCACTTAGGACTACAAAAAGTGCACCTGTTTGACACCCCATATAGCAAAGTAAGCTTTCTCTCGTAAACTACAGTATTCTAGAATCAGGATCATTATCCATCATAAAGATATTGCATGACAAGGTAGAAAATATATAAATCATGATCCCCAGTTCAAAAAAGCGGAGGTGTGATGTAAACAAAGTAGATTTAGTAGATAAAAAGGGGTCGAGGAGGTTTTAAAGCCAGGACCAAATAAAATTAGAATCAAGCTGTAATGCTGCACCACTCATTGCAGCCCTATGGAACCACAAAGTAAACAGTACTTGGAACAGTTTGAATTTCGACAAAATCCAAAACAGCTGAAAGATTGGCATAAATACATTACAGGGGCCAAAATATCTACCCGAAATTAGTATAAAACCATATGCATAAAGCTAACTTTCTCGCATACATAAGGTACTCTGGTTAGCCATGTTTCATGATGAAACACCTCTCCTTTGAGCTCCACAACCCATCTAGTCACAATTTTCAAATTCATCTCCACATTTTAATAGCAGTAGTTTATGTTAAGCTTGCCAATTGTAAGTGCTACACTATAATGATCATATTATCGAAATCATCTCTGTCACGAAATCACTAGGACTAACCATTAACAGCATATATAATCCCTGTATTAACGCCATGACCATTACCATAACAACTTGCTAAGGAATATCATCAATCCTATTATTCCTATACTTCCCGTCTCCTCCCTCCACCCAACAGCCCGCCCCGCCCCCATTCCTTCAGCCCCCCACCCCCCAAATAAAATCCCTTCTTCAACATTAAGCAGCAATCAACAATACTCGTTACACTAACCAATTAATCTTACAAAAATCAATCTTAAAACTAGGGTAACAAGAATAGTCCTAAATTTTTTAACTCCCACGAACCAAAAAGCCTTCATCATTACACTATACTGCCCAAAAATCAGCTACATTATTCATATACCGTAACAAATCAACATTATAATAGCATGAATTTAAGAATAAGAAGTTACAAAAGATAAGAAATTGAGACATAATAACATTATAAAATTAAGTCAAAATTGAAAATTCATACCCAAGGATGTGCTCAACCCCCCAACAAGTGAGAGCGCAAGAGCAACCAAGACTTGAGAATCCATAGCTCAATCAGAAGCAATAGCAACAGCAATGGCAGCAATCCTTAAATCCAACGGTCAAAATCCACAATCCAAAAACACCCAGATACTAAATTCTTGGTTTTTCTGAATCAATTTCAAAAACCCTTGAAAATTACACAGATTTAAGAGAAATTAAGAAGTGGGGTTTCAGCTTTAAGGAGAAATTGGATGTTAAGCTTAAACCCAGAACCCCTTCTCGGTAATATAAGAGAGAAATGAAAAAGGGAAGTATATAAGGGGTGGAATAGTGAATCAGGTAAAGGCAAACCAATTTTTGAGGGAGAATCAGGAGAGATTATGTGGAAGAAAGGAAAGAGATGGTTTGATCAGGTGGTCCAACTCCAACATATTTAAATGAAGTTGTATGAATGAGAAAAGAATTTTCTTGTTAATAAGCTAAGACTTATATTTTTACTTTTTTTTTTTTTATTATTTTTTTTAAGGAGCCATGAGCACATAGTTAAAAAAAAAAAGGAAAAAAAAAAAGGGTGTACATGAGATTTTTGTAAAACTTTTTGTTACAATAATTAGCTTATGTTCAAGCGATGACTTGCACATCTGGGATTCTGGGCTGCTTAAATTTGCGAAAGGTGCCGGTTCAATAGGGTCATTCATCTTACCTTTAAAATGAAAATAAAAAATAGGTTATATTCAATCTAATATATATATATATAAAGGGGAGTTTTTTCCCAAGTTTTTAGAGAGCCACGTAGGATCTAATTTTCTCAGCGCGTCATGTAGGATTATAAATCTTAGTAGTAGCCAATTAAATAAGAGATTATTAATTTCTTTTAGAATTAAATAATTTAAATGCCATGAAAGCAAAATTGGCGAATGAAATTTTTAAGTTTAAATTAATTAAATATTATATATTATCTTTTAATATTAGGAATTTTATCTAAATATATAATAAATTTTAGGCTCATAAATACAAAAAAAAACATCATTTAAAAACAATCAAAGAAACCGTGCATCGCACGGGCTTCATCTAGTTTATCTAATTGTCAAGTATCATACTTTATCTGAATTTTACTAAACTTATTAAACCTAGTCACAACTTATTCAACTCTAAGTCCTTATCAAAACTTATTTATCCTAAACTTATTTTTTCTAAAATAATTGAAAACAAGGTGAACAAAATGAAACTACTTGTTTGATAATTATTTTATAATACTCAAGATGTGTCGCTAGTTTAATATTAGTCGTGCAATAACATATGACTAAAATTTTTATGTAATTGGGCATTCTTCATGCATGGTTTTGATAAGGATTTAGAATATGCAATTGGTCATGTCACATGTCATACAATTAACAATTAAGTACGGAGTAGTAGTTAAGAGTATTTCCATCATCATCTACGAAACCCTGGTGTTTTAGTGCTTGATGCCTTAATCACACCTAACTTACTTTCTCAGCATTACATTACTAGTTTACTACTACTATACAATTCAACAAGCAACCATATGTTTTGCAAAGGTTGTCCCACGACTCCCGCCCCCCACTCTAATATTGGGCCGGAGACCTGGCATGTAGCCCATCAATGTTCCAAGAGTCCAAGACTCCCAACTTTCAAACTCTGGCCGATGGATACACTCCGGTTCAATGTAGTCATGGGACAAGACATGTACTTGTATTTAATAAGGGTCCGTTCTCTTCAGTTCATTTTCAGTTCAGTTCAGCTCCAATAAGTTCAGTTCAATTTATTTCAGCCCAATTCAATCAATCAGAACAGACCCTAAGTCTTTTAGGATTCCTTGAGAAGCATGAAAAGTGTCTTGATACTTAACCTTGTAGGGTCCAAAAATGCTCTTTACAGACAAAATTGAAAGCTATAATGTACAGAATCAGACTAATTTTAGCGATTAATAGGATTTGATGTTGAAAAATTGAGTAACGATGGGAGATGCATTTTAGGGTCATATAGATTGTTTGGAACCCTACACACCCACTTATGTATCACGTAAAGGCTCGGGGTGACTTTAAGTTAACAACGGGATGAAATTCCACGGGTTCACTAAACCTTAGGGCAATGAAGTGAAAATTTTGCTTAAAGTAAGAATCAATTTTTCAGACTAATTAAAATGAAAGTAGCATAGACAATTATTTAAGTTAAAAGAGTTTTTTTTTTTTGGTGTTTAGAGAGCCACAAGGGCAGGGTGAGAATCGATCCTAGGATCTCCTAGAAATCGGGAGGGAAGCTCTAACCACTTGAGCTATCTCTCACTCTCATTTAAGTTAAAAGAGTTACATATACTCTTCTTCTTTATTAATTTCCTATTTATAGGAAGATTTTTCAAAATATTATGTACTCTAAAATAAGGTGAAAATACCAAAAAGAAAGAAAAAAAAGTACTAGTAATTACTTACATGTAGACAAAATTAAATTGTTATCCATTTATATACACTACTACTACTGGTACAGAAGTACCTCTGCTATTTAAGGATGGTCGTAGAAGTAGTTGCTAACAAAAATAATCCTAAAATTAAATCATCCAAATATATGTTGAAGAAATTGAATTGTAAATTAAAAGAAATCAGAAAGTTGGTAAACTTATGCTCGTGCATCAAATGTTGATAATGAATGCACCAGCCAGGCTCCATCACTACCTAACTGTGATACACTTATACACAATTAGCCGTACTTCTATTTTAGGACACCCTTTTACATGATATTATTGTACCCTGGCCTCAAAAATAAATTTTCACTTTCATTTTTAAATTTTCACCCTTTTCCTTGAAAAAATCACTAAAAAAAAATAATTACTATGGACTAGTTAATAGGATTGCATGGTAAATAATATAATGAAATAACTTTTGATATATATCATGCACAAGATATAACTGGTTGTACATAGAAAAATAGGTATAGTTTCTATAGTCATATACTAATTGCTTTCGAGAGGTAAAATTTGTTAAGAGTGAAGAATACATGGTAAAATTTTCATCTTTAGCTACCAATAATATAGTGGTTTAATTTATTTTTTATTTTATTTTTTTTATTATTATTTTTTTTTACAATAGAACGTTTCATCAATCCTATACTAGTAACCTAGAATAATTGAGACTTTACTGAAATAATAATTTTCACTCTAGTAGTTGTACACCGTTCTGAGCTCTCATAACTAAGGTGATCATAGATTAAAATTTCTAAATCTAACTTATTAAGTGAAAAGAACGATTAGTGACAACTTTTTCCAGACATTACGAGTATCATTAGTTACGACCCCCGGGAATTTATATCAACCAAAAAGTCCAATATACATCAAGGTGTGTTCTGTTGAAGGATGATGACACACCAACCACTTGGGGTATAATGATTTATCCCTCCATGTATCTGGGTATGCAAGCAAAGTTTCTCCTCTTTACCTTATTTTAACCTTTTATCACACACCTTTAACATTGTATGCCACACATACACTTCCTTTTTGCTCAAACACACTACTACTACTTTGCTTTTGCTTCAAATCAATCCTCTCTTAATTCCCTTTTCTCTTACAATAATTAATCACTAATTAATTACATTTTTATGCATTTCTTCACATGATTAATGTAATGTAAGTATAATTTCCCCTTCTTTTATTCTCTTAATTTATGAAATTAAATATCTTTTCTTGTTTACTATGTACAACTATTTTATCCAATATTTTTATTCATAATATTTATGTAATATACACTTGCTCATGTTGTTCTCATGAACCAACCTCATAATAAATCCCCTGCTCCACCCCACATATTCATTGTGATTATTTTTATATTTATTTTTGAATAAAAAAAAATTATATTTATATATTATGATTGCAGCAGCCTTATAATATAAGGTATATTTATTTGATGTTACTTTTATTTTTCTGACAAATTGAAGAGTTGTGATCTGAACAATGGAGAATGTGAGTGATGATGTTGAAAGAGTAGTTGTATCAAAGATGGAACAGTATGAAATAATTGAGCAGATTGGTAGAGGAGCTTTTGGTACAGCATATCTTGTTCTTAATAAATTTGATCCTAAGAAAAAGTAAGATTTATTTTATTTCTCTGCATTTTTATATAAGTTTGTCTGAATTATTATGTTACATATGAAAAAACAGAATTTTGATGATTATATATGTATGTTCTTGGATTATTTTCCTAGATATGTGTTGAAAAAGATTAAATTAGCCAAGCAGACTGAGAGATTCAAGCGAACTGCACACCAAGAGGTTCGAATTTTAATCAAATCATGTGTTGTTTGTTACAAAGATGTTGTAATGTATGTTGTTCATGTTGAAATGTTCTGTTTATGTGTTTTTGTAGATGAGTATTATAGCAAAGTTGAACAACCCTTATGTTGTGGAATATAAGGATGCATGGGTTGAAAAGGTATAATGTTTTAACAATTTGGCTTATTTTTGCCTAAAATCTTATGATCAATGTGAATTAATCTTTAAGCATTGTGATGATATAAGCCATTGTAAGATGAATTTTGTGAACTGCATACAGGAGTCTTATGTGTGCATTGTGACAAGCTACTGTGAAGGAGGAGACATGTAAGTTTTTCGGATATTATTGTGTGTGTAACGTATGGAGTATAACATAGAGTGTTTGGTTCGAGCAACAATTTTTATGACTTAAGGAATCGAAAAATAATGTTCAGACTGATCTGATATTTCAGGACTGAGACGATTAAGAAGTCAAGAGGAACATATTTTCCTGAGGAGGTAATTAAAAAAAGAAGTTAACAAGTCTAAGGTGATGAGGAGGAAAAACACAACAGCCTAACCAAAGATTTATTATGCTGTAATTTATGAACAGAAACTCTGCAAATGGCTGGCTCAGCTCTTAATAGCCTTGGATTACCTTCATTCTAACCGAGTGTTACATAGGGATATAAAGGTTGGTTCTATTCGCGCTTGAAGTTCTTGATTGCATTAGAGGACAAAGAGTTTTTTCGATATTTACATGAACCTAACACCCCCATTAGCTAACTAAATTCTGTTACATTTTGCTTTCAGTGTTCCAACATTTTTCTTACCAAGGATCAAGATATCAGGCTAGGTAAGATATGCTAAAACTCTTAAGAAAGTGGAAGTTACTGCTATAGAGCTATTTCAGTGTCTTGACACTTTTTCCGAATATGGTGTGAAACTATTACAGGTGACTTTGGCCTTGCAAAACTGCTAAGCAAAGATGATCTTGCATTTTCGGTATCAGTTTGCGTTGCTTGAGATATGTTTGTTCCACGGAATTGTATTTTAGCAGCAAATTCTAAAAGATTACTTGCAAAACATGCAGATTGTAGGCAGTCCAAACTACATGTGTCCTGAACTTCTTGCTGAATTGCCTTATGGCTACAAGTCTGATATATGGTCCTTAGGTGGGAATAATGAAATACGCAAAACCATAAAATACGTCGTATAATATACGATCTCTATGTTTCTGATTGGTGAATGAATGAGTAAAGTTTATATATCTGCTATATTTTGCAGGTTGCTGCATGTTTGAAATAGCTGCACATCAACCTGCTTTTCGAGCACCAGTAATTTGCTATAAATCTTAATCTGCTTACTATGTATTTTTCACTATGTGCTCTAACTAAGTACAGTTGAACTAAAAAACAGGATATTGCAGGGCTAGTGAACAAAATTAACCGGTCCACTATCTCCCCACTGCCAACTATCTATTCTCCCACACTGTAAGTGTCCTATCATTTAACATGATCTTAATCAAAATGAGCCAAAAAAAAGTCCATGTTTTGCTGCATATTTACTGATGAATGCAGGTTGGACTGATTGCCAATATGCAGGAAACGTTTGATCAAGACCATGCTGAGGAAGAACCCGGAACATAGACCAACAGTAAGGATCCTTATGGACACCTATGTTACTCGGACTCTTCAACTCACCCCCAAGTACTCATGTCAGAGCCTCAACACCCTGACATGGGTATACATTTCATTTTGGACTGAAAATTTGGTATTTTTCATAAAACAGCCAAGTCTGACACTGACCCTTGGCACACAAACACGAGTCTAACATGAGTATCCAGTCCGAGTAACATAGCTTATGATCATACTTGTGATACTAAAATTACATTATCTTATACTTATTGTAAATTTTTCTTGGCTGCTAACAGAATTTCAATTGATGTAAACAGGCTGCAGAGTTGTTAAGGAATCCTCATTTACAACCATACCTCGCTCAATGCCACACATCTCCTATCTACCTGCCAGTGAAATCTGAAGTTCCTGCTAACCAAACTAAACCAAATGTACCTCGCTTCACCAACAAGCCCAGCACTCCCAATGTCAGAAAGATTGTTAAGGCAAAACCACCAATAGATCTTCCTAGAGTTGCTCGAGTAACACCTAGGAAATCATTACTCAAGGCAGCATCCTCTTTAGATTCACTTGAAACTAAGGTTGAGACCAAAAGGGTTGATCCAACAAGTTGTTCAGAACGAATATCCAAAGCCGAGGAAGGGCTTAAAGTCATTTCAAACTACATAGAACAACTCAAGGATGCTGAACTAACAAAAAGTTTCTTCAACATGTTGAGTTCATACCACAAGTTTGATCATCATAGTGAGACAGAAAAACTTGCTGTTGAGTACCTAACTCAGATATTGGAAAAAATCAAGGGAATTCCTGGCAAAACTGTGGACAAAGAATCGATATCAAGAGCTAGTAGTGGTCTAACTACTTTGCCAGAGGAAGAAGGGAAGGTTGAGCTATGTGCACACGTCGAGCATAGAGCAGAAGCACTAGAATCACTCCTAGAGTTATGTGCTCGTTTACTTAAGCAGGATAGATTGGATGAACTTGCAGGGATACTAAAGCCATTTGGTGAAGAACCGGTTTCGTCTAGAGAAACTGCCATTTGGCTCACCAAAGGTTTGATGAATGCTGGAAAACAAGAAATGGGATCTTAGCTATATATCTAGAAATTTTGTTTGTTTTGTTCTTTGTATAATTGACAATCTTGACTGATACATGTGTTTTCTTCCATTTTTCTTTTGATTTTGCAAATTAACCAAATGATGAACTTTTGTTTTGTGTATTTGCATCATTGAATTTCAGGTATATATTATGTACATGAAATATGATTTGTTCATAAAATTTCCTTTAGTCGAAGTGAAATGAAATTAATCGAAGTTGTTGCTCCCATGTAGAAATGGGACAACTAAATTATAAACACCGCACTAAAATTCAAAAATTGAAAATTTTGAAGAGATGAAATTTTAAATGAAAAGTTAATATACCCTTCTCTTAAGATCGTATCCTAAGTTAACGTACATAATAAAAATCTTATGGAAAGGTTTAATGATTAAGAACTTAGGTATCACATCAACTTTTATGAGAAAATTCTTATCATCAATTATCTATCTTTTCTTGCTGGACAATGCTAGAACAAAGCAACAATACACCACAAATGGTCCAATAATAAAGATACCTAGAAAAATATTAACCAATCTTTAGCCCATCACACATAATCTGCTCCATATATTCCATCAAACAACACATTGATTCCCTAATCCCTACACTTTAATGTGCTATTTTAAAAAAATATTTTAGTAGTGCTATATATTTGGTGGATTCGGAATATTAATCAACTAAGTAAGGTAAACTCGCGATTTGAAAAACCAAGTTACCTCATTATCCTTACTTGATTAATTACCCTTGACTTGGTCTTAGATTCATTGAATATGGACAAAAATAACATTTCCTTGAACTAACATACACTCCGTGTTATTTGACCTTTTTGTGTTTTTCCCCCCTTTAAGGACTCTTGTACGGTTATATGTACAACACATACACACGGTTGATGACACTCTTCGTCGTATTGAGTAAGACTTTTTATAATAAGAGTACACACGTATAATCACCACATGGTACCGCAATCATTCAACTAGAATTAACATTGCTCATATGATACATTGATATGAGAATTGAGAAGCTAAGTAGAATAAAATTGTTATGCTACTTTTCAATTCCATATATTTCTTCGTAGTATAAATGACACAATTGGTTAGAGGAGTAGCATGCCTAGAAAGAGAGAAATGATTTTGCGCTGAAAAATAAATAAAGTCAAATGACAATAATTGCATGACATATAAATTATATACATACTCTCATATTGCCTTTATTGGGGGCTTATATTTTATACTTATCTTTCCAAATCTACCATTCTATTATTTATTTTTTTATTAGCTTTAGCGTTGAAATTATAAATATTTGAATTATATTTGTTAGGAATATTTAACTATTAGAATAAACTAATTTCTTATATTCGTACATTATTTTCAAAGGTAAGGGAAAAAACATAATACGAAGTATGCACTTACGTCTACCAACCAAAGTGCAACCAACAAGCTAGATTACAAGAACATTGAAATATAAGATTAAAAATTAAAAATACTAATAATAATAAATTAATATTGTTATACTGTTATATTTATACAATATGGAATGAGTCACCAACTGTTGATTCCTGGAATACAGGTACAAATTACATCACCTTTCACCCCAAGAAAAAGCGAGAGAATATCTTCATGGAATATAAACTTAGTACGATTTTTTTTAGTCTTTGTGATTCCTATCTTATCGTGCTTGTGAAAATTACTACTAGTACTTATTTATTTATTTTAAAAAAAGAAAAAAAAATAAGTTCAAGAGAATGGTAAATTAGACCATTGTATGTAACTCACTAACTTGTCGATTTATAAAGGTTGTGCAAATATTAATGTAAGAAAGTATAATCATACTATGTAGTAAATTAGTGTAAGACAATTGAAATCTGAATATGATTATTAATAATCTAATGGGTTAATGAACTATCAACCTAAATTAATAAAGAATTATTTTATAATCTCAAATCTCAATGCACTTAAAATTGTACAAAATATTATAAGCTATTTGTATGTATGGTATCATAAACTTCTACTACGACCTCCATCTCACAATACAAAGTAATTCAATCCATGTTTCACTTCCTCCATTTTCAATCATTTTATATTTTTATATCAAGGAAAAAAAAAACCTATGAAATACTTTCTACTCCATACTTGAACAAGCACTTTCTAGATGCTAGAAAGTCAAAGTCTCATTCCCTTTGGTTTCTAGAAAGTCAAAGTCTCATTCCCTTTGGTTTTTGTAAGAAGAACTAAAGAATTTACAAGTACTAAACTAGTATTGTCAACTTAGTTACACAGGTCAACGCTTAATGATATATTGAGAAGTACTCCGTAAGAAATTAAAATCCCCAACTCCCAACATATAGGTAGATGGTGAGGTTCGAACTTGTGACCTCGACTCTTCGGTTAACTTGTAACCAAAACAACGAAAGGAAGGCGTGTAAATCAGTTTCCCTAAGGGAGCGTTAACAGAAGAGTCCACGACAACCAAAGGGCAAAAATGGGAAAGAAAAAAAAGAAGGATACTTTAGCAGTCAGTAATTAGGCGTTCGTTGGCGGAGAGAGAACGTCTCTTTATTAGGAAGACACAAGAGAGGGGAGGAGAGAGAAACTCTTTAGAGAGAGAAAAATAGAGAGAGAAGGAGTTCTTCTCTCTTTAATACCCATTTTAAGTCCCCCATTTTCTTCTTCTTTTTTCTCTCTCTTCCGCTTCTTCGCGATCTCTTTGCCTTTCTCCAGGTTTGTTTTTCTTTTGGGGTTAATTACCTTTAATTCTCATTTTTATTTCAATAGTTTTATGCTTTTATTTTGATTTTTTTGAAAATGATTTTTTGAATTTGTGTTTACCTTTTTGTTTGTTTGTTTGATCGTTTGATGGGTATGTTTTAAATGATTTACTGGGTGTTGGATTTTGGAGAATTAAAGGGTCATTTGTTAGGAATTTGATTGAATTTTGTTGGTTAGGGTTTTGAATTTTTTATTTTGTTGATTCATTTCTCCCAAATCAGGGGTTTTACGTGACTAATTTGAGATGGGTTTGATAGATTTAGCTTTAGAAATTTGAATATTGTATGATTTGTTGAATTTATTGGGTGAAAGATTGAAACTTTATTCGTTGAATATTGGTATTAATTTTTAATAATAAGACATGCGTCAATTTTACATTTTTCATTTTGCTTTATAATTAGGTACAAAGTTTGATTGATTAAGCATCTGTAATTTGATACCTTTTGGTTGGTTATGTTTCGTTTTCATTTGGTGTGACCTCTGTTTGATTAGCTAGTTGTTGCTCATGCTTTTGGGAAATTATATCTTGTTGAATTTCATTTTTTATTTATGATTTAGGTAGAAATTGCATTTTGAATTTATGTGTATGAGTTAATTATACGTGATGTGGTGTGTGATTGTTTTGTGAAATTGCGAAATATTTAGGGGAGATCTCTTGTACCTGTAGGGGTTCAGCTTAGCGAAGAATTATATAATAATTCTTGCTTTTTATGCTTGTGTTTTAGCATTGTGAATGGTGTAATGGTTCATATTCTATAAACGACGGTCTGTCTTTCTCTTGCGGTCTGGACTGGACGATTGGAGATGGTAGGGTTGTCTTTGTGGTATTCCCCTGTAGTTGGATGAGGGTTTATTTGTTTGCTTAGCATTTAACATGCATTTTCTGTGTGCTGAAGTTTAACTTGTTATGTTGTTCAGTGGCATCATTCTTATCGAAATTGAAATGGTGGTTGAGATTTGAGAAAGCATATAAAACTTAAGTCTAATATACAACCTTACATTAGTTTGTCAGCATGTGTGCTATGGATGGTTTGTGCTTTTGTGGTCATGTATTGAGTGTTTGGCAAGTGTGCGATAAATGGTCATTTTTGTTGGTTTCTGGTTTGTGTAGATACATGCCAGAGATGCCGGCTTGTGCAACCGGTAATACATCTTGGGGCTCCTAGAAATTCTAGTTTTATAATCTGTCTGCAGCTATCCGCTGCTGCTTGTGCAAAAAAAAGTCATGCATTCGTAAATTGTTTATTAGAGTTATGCAACTCTTAATAGGTTTATTTTTCTTTTTGCCTGTTTGTTTTGCTTCAGAACTTCGGAAATGGACCATGATGAGACTGGATGCCAAGCTCCTCCAGAAGGACCAATCTTGTGCATTAATAATTGTGGATTCTTTGGGAGTGTGGCAACGATGAACATGTGCTCCAAGTGCTACAAAGATGCCGTTCTCAAGCAGGAGCAAGCTAAACTTGCTGCATCATCTATTGAAAATATAGTGAATGGATCATCGAGTAGCAACGGCAAGGAGCCTGTTGTTGTTGGCACGACGGTGGATCTGCAAGTCAAACCTATTGAACTAAAAGTCGTACCTGCACCAGAGTCAAGTGTATCAACAGAATTGGTGGAGGAAAGTGGTGATGCTAAGCCAAAACAAGGGCCTAGCCGTTGTACCACTTGCAAGAAAAGGGTAGGCTTGACAGGATTCAATTGCCGGTGCGGTAATCTTTTCTGTGCCACACATCGCTATTCAGACAAACACGAGTGCCCCTTTGATTACCGCACTGCTGCTCGTGATGCCATAGCTAAAGCCAACCCTGTTATTAAGGCTGAAAAACTCGATAAAATCTAAGGCTGGAGGTGTGAAGTTCGATCATTCAAAAATACAATGCATCCTTTTCTCCAACGAGACTTCTCTTTGAGTTGGCTGCATATTATCAAGAAGGTGTCCTCTACAATGGATATGTTGGCTTGGAGAAACGGCGAGTTAGGACAGCTTTGCAGCTTCAAGTTATTCTCTATTTGTGATTGCCTTAAATGTGTTGTTGGCTCCGATTATCTCTTCTACCTGTGCTGGTTTGATGGACAATCTCTTAAATTAGCTTTGTAATGTGTCCCTTCTGGCCGAAAAAATGGCATTATGAGTAGTTTATGTGAAAATGATTTGTGATATTCAGAAATGTCTTCTTCATTCTGTAACTAACAGTTGTTTTTACTTAAACCTATTTGTTACGCCGTGCACAGGCAATCATATCCTCGCCCCGTGGCCTAAGTAGATCAAAAATTCATATATCATATCCTCGTCCTATGGCCTAAGTAGATCAAAAATTCATTTAAACTATAACTTATTACAAGAAGTTACCCAAAAATTTTGGGACTATACTAGAATGTTTGAAGAATGGGATAAATCTAAGAACATAGATGGAATTTAACACGTTAACTGAAATAATTATTTATTGAATTATTAGTAGTGGTTTAACAAGAATGAATTCAATATTAGAATAATTTTGTTAAAAAAAAATAAATTTGATTATCAGTTTTGCATACCTCAAAGTATTTTAAAGGACAGTGGGTATTGACTATTGCAACCAGAACAATGCACTAAAAATATGGTGGATTGATGTCTAGATGAGCCAAAACATAATCCAATACTCCGTAGGCTTTTAGCCTTATTATACAATGAGTTCATCAAAAGTATTCTCGTTGCAACATTATTAAAGTTTAATTTATTTTTTATTGGATCAGCGTTGGTAAGATTGTGTGTAGCCATGTTAGATATTTCCGATCATAGCAAAGGAGTGGTGGACTGGTGGTAGCAAGTTCGAATGTAACTACCCAAAGTCGAACCATGTTCAATATTTACGATCATAGCAAAGGTGTAGTGGTAACAAGTTTGAATGTATCAACTCAAAGTCGGACGTGTTACTCGTATAACTCGAGTAGATCACAAGGTGGCTAGTTGGTTGCTCTATTTCTATTATCATTTTAACTCACAAGCCCATAGCCCTTAAACAAGTATTTTGAAACACTGATGACCTTTTACATGTAAGATTGTAAAGGACTTATCATATTCACTTGGTATGCAATTAATAGTCTCCTAAAAAGATGTAGCTCTCTGGAAAAAGAGGTAAGAGTAAAGTCTTTTGTACAACTTGGGGCAAGTAATTGAAGCATGTATTTAGAGTATAACATGATACAACTACATTCAAATCCAACACGGATAAACCAGAAACAAACGTAAATATAAACACGAATATGATATAACTTGAACTTTCTATCATACTCCGTATTGTGTAATCTTTTTGAGCCAACCAAACACGAACATGTACAACGAACCCAAATTCAACACTAAATAACTTGTGTTGAGTACAATTTGAAATATCTTGTGTTGAGGACGATTTGAAAGGTTTTGAGCACAATCTGAAATCAGCACGAATAACAAACTTGAAAGCAACCAGTTACCAGAAAGGCAAACCCTACTTGTGGGTTTGTGTGTGTTCAGGAGTTGCCTCTTCATACATCCTACTGGATTATGGGGAAGACAGGTTGTTGCTCACATAATTGTCAGGATGTTGTTGGATTTTTTTTTCTCTTTTATTTTGGATTAATAGTCGGAATATAAGCTTTAATTTTGCTCTCTATAGAACTTTACTGTTGAAAGGTTGACAGCTGCAATTGATATTACAGTCTGCTTCAACATTCCATGTGCAATTCATCAAGTGAATGAATATGGGAAGGCATGATTTCGGCCATACCATGTTGCATGGGCAAGAAGTGTTCTTATTACTCATACAGTCCATTTATTGCCTGGCGAAACTAGCAAGGATAGTCATACGAGTAAACATATAGTCAGTTTAATTACGCAGATAATCATGCAGGACGTATAATATTTGGAATTGTATAAGTTGACAAAGCACAGAGTAAGGGAAGTTGCTTACTGAATCTGGCCTAGGGAAGTCCCGCGTTATGTAGCCAGCCAAACACCTTCCTTAGCTTTCCACAAGAGTTGGAAATTTAAAGTGTACAGAGTAATTTGTAATTCTTAAGTGCAACCAAAAGGCAACTATAGTAATTTCCGACTGTAGAATGGTTGCAGACAGTTTGCTAATTCAATCCTTTTATGTTTTGACATCCAAAGTTATATGTGTAGCAAATTTCACAGCTATTATTCTTATGTCTCTAAGCTTCCAATCCACTATCATATATTTTCTTATTGCAAGGGATACTGAGGCAAGTCCCGAATAGAAAACAGAAATTCTTCGATAAGTCTAGGTAAGAAATTCCTACTTCAAAGATAAACCTCTGGAAGGGGTGCACAAAATATACCATGCAACTAGAATCACAAAATATCGTGCTGCTTGCCAGATGCCACATTACACTTGCAAGCAGCAAGAACAAGCATTCCTAGCACTTAGATGAAGGGTGGCTTACCATAGTCCCTTAATTTCAATCTAGAGGAAACTAACTCTACTCTGAACTACAGTTTGGCTAAGGTCAACATAACATCCGATTTGTTAACTACCTTCATCATTCTCAGCTAGGCGAGTCTATAAACAGTCATTTCAAGTGTCTTAAAAAGAACTATAGAAGTCTCCATTAAACACTCACTGTAATGAGTTCAGTAACACCATTTCCAACTCAATAGTTTTCTCAATTTTCCATCTTTAAAATTTATTTCCTCCATCACCTAATATTGTCCACTGGATAGTTTGAGGATAATTCCTGATGATCTCACTCTCTCCTTCGGTTATTTTATACTCACTCATTTCCACAAGACTTGCATTTTTAGTCTTCTGCATCTCTAGAAAGCAACAAGAGGATATACTGAAAGTAACTTAATAGTCCCAGGAGCACCATGGGCAAACCATCAAAGAAGAAACCAGTCTCCCGGCCAATATATTCAACTCTTAACAGCTTCAATAAATTGCCTGCCAGAAAATTTGCATAATGCAAACTCTTTCCTATAATCTATCACAAAAATTATTCACCTCTTATCAACTACCGAGTATTTGAGCTTAAACATTCTCATTGGTATCATTCAGGGAAATTTACCAAAATTTCTTTTTTTTTTTTCCTATATTTTTCTAATGGGGAAGAGCCACCAAATTTTCACAATATGCTGACTTACGAAAACAAATCCTAATAAAAGAAGGGTTTTAGTCATATAGGCCTAATCCTGTGAAAGTTCACAAATTGTCCATGGTACTAAGAAACAGTAACACCATTTAATATGCATAAGCACAAAGCATTCAAAATAATGTATGCAAGTTAGCCAAAATCTCCAATGATAACAAATAAGGTTCGCCATTTCTGATTCACTAGATCAATTTAACCAACTGCTCACCTTGTATAAGGAAAAGGAATTAACCAGTAAAAATTGTCCCTTATGAGTTATAAACACAGACGGTACCATTGTTTCAATCATATGCTCATAATATAGTCAAATCACTCAAATGCTTACATCATATGTATAACATGAAACCTTCCATTCAATCAATCAACAAGACCCCACATAATTGTGTACTTAAACAAAAGCATGTCTAACATCCATATTTCAAAAAGTATTAACTTGTAAAACAGTTTCGTATCAAAAAATAACAGGAATGCTGACTCATATAATCATGTTAGATTAACTGGGAAAGTATATTGGTTCCAAAATTGAGGCAAGTCCAACAAGACTTCTAGTTTCTAAGCTCTCAAGTTTTTAAGCTCATGCTTATACATTATTCGAATATTCTATCTCTATTTCCTCTTAAAAGGGTCTATAATTCAGAACCTTGTTCTAGCAAATATATAATCAAAAGAGATCAACAGCAGAATCAAATGGACATTCCACTAGATTCAGCTTCAAGATACTTACACATTCTCTCCATAACCTCTCTGCCCTTGACACTGTTCTGCAAGAACTTATCAACACATCGCTGCTCCACCTTCTCTGCCATTGAAGCAAGGGCTGATAATGGCTTTATCCTGATGCTAGTCTCTTGTCTGCAGAGAGTCCATGCAGAGGGATTGTCAGGGTGAGGATCATACCGTATTTTCTCCTCAACCTCAACAAACTTCTGCATACTAACATTCCGAGTAATAAGTTGCATTGAACGTGATTGAGCATCAACAACCGTAGATTCAACACAATGGCAGATATCCTGGCCAACCATCTTGCGAATAAACCATGGTCCAGGAGCATGGATTGTGATTGCTCTAGTGGTGTAAAGCTTCCCAGTATCAGGTTCAAGCTTCCTATTCAAAGTGTCAACTTCAAGGATGTGAGAGAGAGTGCGTTTGTTCTCTGGATCAGAAAATTTGCGCCAAGATGCAGATGTCACTCTTTCCCATGGATGCTGGTAGACATGCTCTTGTTTGTAAGCCTTCACCATCACTCCACTGTGGACAGATTAAACTTAAATAAGAAACAATTCGATACATATTTTTCTGCATTTCACTTATACACATTACACATTCCAAGTGGTTGCAACTAATAAATTATCCATCATAATATAAAAGAAGCACGCAGTACAAGGCTACAATCAGATTGAGAAAGCAGCAAAACTTTGTTACTCCCTAATTTCTTACAATTTGTGGTCGAAACTCACACATGCGGACCAGGAGGAATTCAGCACACGAACAAAACAAAAGAGATTCTAAATCCTACAGCTACAAAAGGAAATGGATGAACAATTATGCCTAACTTGAACTCTAAACTTAAAAAAGAATATCAGGGTTTATCAAATCAAACAAAACAACTCACGGTGACAATATATCAATATGTCGATAATCTTAAGAAAGACTATGGACTCAACCACCCATCCAAAGCCAATTTTCCAAAATCCAAAGATAAAACGCTCAAAAACATATACTTTATTTTTATGTACTACCTCAAAAAATAAGCTAACTTATAGCATTAGATGATTAAATCCACTTATGGGATTAAGGCTTTAATTGATTGATTGATATAGCATTAGATCAAGACACATAACACCAAACATTGATAAAGTTTCCACCTAAATGAGATTTAAGGGATTGAAAGACACTAACATGCTGTTTGCAACTGACATAGATTTTAAACCGATGAGGCAAGCCAACAATCTCAGGAATGCTTTCATCATCTCTCCTCCAACCTTGTCCATTAAGTCAATTATGGGTGTAAGAATAACCAAGTGGCTTGAACCCTAACTTTTTCCGGGTTAAATTCATAAGCTCAAAGGAGGCTTGACTTGAATGCAATGCATAATACATATGCTCAAGGCCGGTTTAAACTCTTACATACAAGCTCAAGATCAGCTAAAGGCCATTTAATTTCTTGTTCTTTCATATCAACTCTAGTCTAAATAGCTTCTGAAATCTCTCGGATGAAGCTAGCCAAAACCCAACAACTACAATCATCAAGATACACAAACCCGAAAAAAAATCGCGCTTATATATTGACTTTCTTCAAAAATCAAGCATGAGTAACACAAAATTGACTAAATTTAAATTGCTAAATTTAATCTAACTATAGTCTTTATAAGATCCTACGAAAAAAACCCTAAATTGGAAAGCTCCGCCGCATCAACCACCAAATCAATGACTAACAATGGCGAAATTTTACCACGATTCCTCACAAATCCAGCTCCCAAATCAACCCAAAAAGCAAGAAATCAACGAATTATGAAATTAAATGATCAATTAATTCAAATAATAGTCAAAATTAACAAATTTAGTCAAAAATTGAAGATTGGCATTGATAAGAAACATACGAGATATTAAATTAAAAGCATTGTTTGCATAAAATAGAAAAAGAACTACCTTGTTAGATTTGGGAAGATTGAAAATGAGAGATCAAAGTAGAGATGAGTTAGTAGTGGATTTCTGCAGAGCTGAATTTCTTTGTGCGTCGCAAACCCAAACTAAAAGAAACCGTTTTTTTTTTTGTTTCTTGAGGAGTAATACTTTTTTTTCATTTGTTTTTTTTATTTATTATTATTATTATTTTATTTTTTATTTTTTTTTTGGTATGGCAGTCAATATCTTGGAAAGACTAGATGGGAAGCCTCGGGAGTTTGGGGTTCAATCTTCGCTAGGTGAGTTTTAACGATGAGATCTCTTATTCTTTCTTTTCAATCTAAATTAGTGAGTAGTCTGGACGTTGTCCTATGTTGTTACTGTGACAGTGTTGTAGACGTGCAATCGATAAATTTTATTAAAGACTTTTTAAAACTGAAATTGTCTTTGTACGTCTTTGAGTAATTTTTTTCTAATTAAACCTTGTAGGCTTGTAGCCTTGTAGTATGTATTTATATAAGTTTTTTTTTTTTTTTTTGACATAGCTAATGATTGGCTAAGCTAGTTAAGTAGTCACCTTTGTTATAAAAGATTGAGGGTAATGGTTTAGATTGTTTGAGTGATGATGTGGCACCATAAAATGTTGGAAAGGTGATGTGGCGCAATTAAAAAAGCAACTACGTGGCACATTACAGTATTAACGAGAACTAGCCTTCTAGCCCGTGCAATGCACGGGTTGTTTATAAAAAGTTGTGTTGAAAGGTAATGATGGAAATACCAATAAATTATTATGGGGTGTAATGTGTAATCTAAAATCAAAATATAATTAAAGAAATTAGATTTTTAGGGCTCTAATTCAAAATGAGCCTTTAAAAAAAGAAGGTGAAGGGACTAAAATTAAAGAGAAAAGGAAAATGTTGAATTGAATAGGGGAGATGAATATGAAGCGTGTATGAGAGAGAAGAAAATATAATTTTAATGAAATAATTAAGATAGTGTAAAAAATATTTTTAAAAAATATAAGAAGACTTGTGGCACATCTAGTGTAAAAGAAGCTAGAAAAGTGTAATAGAATGGAGACATGTGTATTTTCCGGTTAGAATTTTTAAATACTAAGTATAGATATAGATAAGTAAAGGGAGAAGTTGAAATTGGGCACAATTTTGTAATTTTTTTTTATAGGAAAGTCAAGAGACTCAAGTTATTATTTTCTTCCTACTTGCATTTTACTTTTAAAATTGAGTCTAGAAGTAAACTATAATTTCTCAAAACTTTAAGCGACAACTCTATTTACATAGATGCCAATAATTCTTCCTAGCTCTTTAAATCTCAAGCCTATCTCGCTCTTGAGCAGTTGTGAACCTTAAATCGTTTGTCGTATGAAGTGCAACAAAATCAACCCTAATGCGACAAATTAAGACCAACTTGAATTTATTGCAATAAATCTTGAATGATGAATTGATCAAATACCTAAACTTGTAATTTTTAATTAAATTTTCATCTAAATTATTATGTTCACCCGTACTTGTAGTTGTGATTCAAAGAATATGATCAAATGGTGCAAGATATGGATTTGATGAAATAATGGGCATCAAACTTATGGCTTGTCCTGATTTATTGAACTGAACTAAACTCAACTAAATTGTTTACGAGAGAACAAATTTGGGAATTAAACTGAACTGAATTGATTGAAGTTGAACTGAATTGGAAATTAAGCTGAAGAGAACATGACCTTAGTGAACACCACGTTTTTCTTATTGATATTTGATATGGAATTATCATTGTGGCAATGAGAATTATTTTTGTTGTATTTTTATGTTAAGAGTACTTTTTTTTTAGAGGACGGGGATTGACTATGTGTTTATAATATGTACTTCCTATTTAACTACTTTGACCTTGCTGAGTTAATATTATGTAAGTAGAACTGTGAAATTATTTGTGTTGCTTGAAATATGTGTATTTAATAGTGTATTAATATTTTTGTCGATCTGATCCCACCCTCATCACCGATCGAATGTGACTCTATCCTAATTGAGTACAAATGAGATAATGAAGGGAGTAGTTTAGTTGGTGAAAATTTTATATCATAGCCAAATTACATATTTCATATTCTTTCAGAATAATTAACACACTCTTCAACACATCATTTTGAATTTTTTGCCCTACTAAAATGGAAACAACATTTACCTAGTCGATTATTACAAAACGGAGAAAGTACATATTCATCTATCAAGCGGAATTTATTGGCGGGAAACGCAAACGTTGGAAAAAAATGACCAACAATAAGCAAAGCCATGACAAGGTGACTTGAAGAGAGAGAAAGATGGCAGATCAATGGAGCTTTCGTCGTTTGACGAATTCTTCGTGCTTCTTCAATCTCAGGTAAGCTAGATTTCGTCTGATTTTAGTGTTTTTAATGTTTGCTAAGCTTTTGTTTGATTAATTTTCCAAATTCCATTTTTAGGGTTTTCCGTCATTCGATGAATTTGAATGCAATCGGTAGCTTCAAATCTTTAATTCTAGAAATTAGAGTTCGAATTGACTTTAAATTAGGGTTTTCCTTTTGGTAATGAACAATTTTGCTCATTTCTTTGACTTGCTATATATTGTGCATTGAATTTTGCTTTTAACTTATGTATAGCTAAAGTATTTTGTCCTAATACAAGCAATTGGGCATAATTTATCAGAATTGGTGAATTGAAAAGATGATTCGCGATAATTAGGGCTATACTTGATAAAAGTGATTTCTATGGTAGAGTGTATTAATAATTGTAAGTTTACAGGTGTTAGATTGTAATTAAGTTTTTAGGTTGGAAGAAATTCACAAATGCATCCACAATTTAGAATTAATCTCACCGACGAATGTTTTTGGGATGTCTGAATGTATGTATGTATGTATGTATGTATGTATGTATGTATGTATGTATGTATGTATGTATGTATGTATGTATGTATGTATGTATGTATGTATGTATGTATGTATGTAATGATTATTAAAAAGTTTGTTCCGGAAGTTTGGTTGCAAAAGGTGAAGTAGTTTTCAATCTAGTGAAGTTGCTGAGCTGATGAACTTGTTAAATGAAATACGGAGTACATTGTGATTTTCCAGTATACAAGAGATTTTGTGTTGCTTAAGAGTTTCGTAGTCCTCCATTTTATGCAAACTTTGTTTTCCTTCCTCTCTTTTTCAGAACGAAATCGTGTTTTTTTCCTCTTTTAGTGATCAATGAATTAGGAATAGTATTATTGTTAATGTTCAACAGTACTAACTACTCAGTTATATGAACTATGACTTCAAGCTGCCTCATAAACATGAAGGTACAATCATTTTACATCTATCATGACTTGTTGGGGTTTTAATGAGAGTATTGATTTCTGGTTTACGATGTTTGGATTCCAGTGCTATAAACATTTTGCACCAGCAAGACACTCTATCACCTAATGTCTGTATTCTGGTGTCAGGGTAACTGTAATATTGCTCTATAAAGCTGCTTGTCAAGATTTGTAATTTTGTAAATATAGATATAGATGCATCTTCATTCTTGAAAAGGGAATGTCCCTATATGATTTCTGATTCATATTGGTCTCATGATTGATGGATCTTTTCCCTTATTTGAGTTTATGGAATGCAGCTTCCAATGTCATTTGTTACTAGCTTTCATAATTTTATGCCGCACTTAAGGACTTAGAAGTGTCATCTGAAATTCATGCTGTTTCTACAGGCTACAATCAGTGGTATACTGTGCTATATATATTCTATTATTGGCCAATTTTATGCCACACTTAAGGTCTTAGAAGCGTTGTCTGAAAGTCATGTTGTTTCTATAGGCTACAATCACTGGTATACTGTGCTATATATATTCTATTATTGGCCACACATTAATATAGTTATTTAAGTGAACCTAAATTTTAATTCACTGATTGTACATAGCTATTTTCAGTTGTAAGTAAACCGTGTTGTAAAAATAACAAATATGTATCTTCACTAAGTTAATTAATCCGTTCTGAAGTTTATAGTCTCCCTGTCCCTGAGCTCTACTTGACTAAGTAATGAACTACGTATGCATTTTTAGGAGGGTGTGCTAGTACAATCATGGAGACCTTATTAACAGTGTTTGGTGAAGCTGATTATTGTCAAATGGTGCTTTTTGATCCCCAGTTGCTATGGGGAACAATGGACGGAATACAATCGATTTTTCCATTTAAGTGGTATTTATGGATGTTGTGACAACATGCTACATATATTAATCTGTCAACTACATGTTCGGTGAAACTGATTATTGTCAATTTATGGTTATTGCAACAACATGCTACATATATTAATCCATCAGTCAGTTGATTAATTCATGAATCCATTTCTGCATTGTATTATTGTATGTTGCTGGTGGACAAAATTGAAGATGCCAAGTCAAATATAATAAGCCCTTCCTCTTTTGCACGATGTTATCATTGTAGAGATTCAATAAGCATGTTGCAGTGGAAAGAGATATTTTGCTGTTGCATGTCTTGAGACTCTTGACATTCAATGACAGTAAAATCCTTCTTTCCCTGAAGTTTCTTCCTGTTGAGTGGTCAATGTAGAATGTTTAGGGCAATGCACTCAATGAGCCCCTACTTTTTCATGCATTGTATATTAAGAAACATCATGAACTTCAACGATGGATCTCCCAAGTTTACAAATTGCTTATCCGTCTTTCTCTTCTTATTTTTATTTACTTATTTGATATTAGGCTTGCAGGGGAAGGAGAGTTAAAAGCATTACTAACTCCATTATTGCAGTTGACTTGATGACTAATAATCTGTTTTGAGTAGCTCTTAAAGAGCATTAACCGATTAATTATTAGATGCACTTAAAGAAATCCACCCTAGGTAAAGTTATGGAGCTTCCTCGCTTGAGAAGATATATACAAGTTTTAGGGTTGGCTAAGATGATTCTTAATTCTATTTGCTCCACTTTTGTGCAATACCTCACCTACCTGAACTGTGTACATTCCATATTTGTCAGTATGGTTTTATATTTTTTTGACTGTTATCTGTGACCACTGCCTAATTTATCTAGTCTGCCCTAGAAGTTTTCCTTTTGCTTTCCATCTCTTATCTGCAGGGATGTAGCAGGATGATTGTGTCACACTGTCAGGGACTTCTGTGTACATGAAGGAATATAAAGCTGATAATCTACTGAACTGTTATGGTAAGCTGTCTGACTTGTACCTAATAAAATCCTGAAGTTACTTTTGGTGCTTTGCAGTTTGCATTGTTAAAATCTTAGAGCAGAAATAATTTCTACTATTTTTGGTTTCTCCACTGAAGATTCATTAGTCAGATGTTGGTATACTTTTATTTGTACTATTGTTTACTTGCTTGCTTGCCATGCTTGGTTCTTGAGGTGTTCCTAATTTTTCGTCTATATCTTGCTGGGACATTGTGCTATGGGGTTCAGATCTATAGGTTAGATATTTTAAGTTTAGCGGTGCTGGTGGTAAATGGTAATAAAAAGCAGATAATTTGATCTACTAGTGATGATATAACGAACTTTCTGTTCCTGAATAAAATAAATGATCAATAAATTATCAACTTAAAAAGTTGGATGCCGTGCCTTGCAGGATATCAGATAAACCAATTTTATGTCAGTATATTTTAACTTAACCTTGCCTATGCTATTAAGAGTAAGTTAACATTCCATATTTCAGACTAATTGAAGTTATCTGCTGAGAATTGCCACAAACTGTATTTACTTCACGTATGTACAGACTTTCTGCTGATTTTGCATAGGTGGTAGAGCCGAGTGACTTTTACTATTGTTGAATGATCATAAATTTAATTGGATATTGTTTTTTTAGTTGCTTTGGTCTCTGTGTATGCGTATGCGTGGAATATCCAGTATCACTCAATTATGATGTAATGTATAGTTAAATCTGATGAGATGTTTAGAAGTATATGCTCAATTATTGATTGTGACTTGTGAGAGTTAACTGTTTTTTAAAACATCTATAACAAAAAAAACTCCCTCAGTTGGGAAATATTGAAATGCAAGTAAACATAAGCATAAATGTCTATGCATCAACAGATGCATGAAGTCAAATTTGAGGAAGTTCTTTTCTCCTTAACCAAGGTGTATCTATGATATTTTATATGCATTAAGATTATAATTAAATGTGTGGTCTGTGATATATAATTTTGTACATTGCTTGGAACAAGACAATGCCATGCACATGCCCTGCAGATATTCCACTTGTTTAGTAATAAATACTACTAAAGTCTCATTTTCCCATATGTTCTATCGATATTGAGAAGCTCCTACCATTTTCATGGGATTGTCGATGAGGGAAACATTTGTTTAAGCATCATCAACCTGATTGTGGATTAGTAATTACGACTGATGCCCACATTCAAATCTAAACTACCACCATTGCTGTCATTTGCTTGTATGTGTTAATTAAATGACCTATCGTTTTCTCTAAGTTGCTGTGTCTTGAAATCTGTGGATATCTGTACTTCAACCAATGACGTGGCTGCTCTACTAAGCACGAGCAGCTCACGTGCTAGTCGACATTATGCTTGAAAGTAGAGAACCACAATTCTTGACCAGTAATCAAGACGCCAAAATGGTTGCTTCACCTTATGCTAATAGTATTTGATATAGCTTCATGCACATGGCCATTGTTGCTGAATACAGATCTTTTTTAACCCGGAATTTTGCAGAAATCTATAGGTTAGTCATAGAGAACTGCTTTAATTTCTCCCAGTTTGATCAAATAATGATTGCAACACTTACTCCCAGTTGAATTAATCTCCTGATTGTCCTTATGTATTCATTCTAGTTGTGCACTGAATTTATAACCTTCCTGTTTCTCGTATCTTGTAGAGAGTTCTTTACATCTTGTATACTGTATTAAATATGATTATACCTCTTATCTTCAGTTTTTATTTTCATATACAGCTACGTTTATCTTTTCTAATCCTTTTTGTTTCGAACTTTTCCAGCTTGAATTCGACATTTAATTTGATTCTGATTTTTTTTTTATTGATGTATTCGACCTGTTCTTTTGGTGGTGGCTTCCAACAAACCTGGCTAACGTATACGGAGTACTTACAAGGCAATACATGGTGCTATACATGTATGTCTCTTGAAACTAAGCAACAACTAGAAGTTATGTTATGTTATGTTATATTTTAGGAGAGAACCAAGAATGTGGTGTCTTTTGCATAGTGATTAATGTACGGGAAATATTGTAACATATAATTACAGGATTTCGAAATTATCAAGTTTTAATCAGTACCTTGTAGCATGAATAAAGTATGAGCCTCGTTATCTTAGATACACTGTTGCAGAATTGCACTGAGTTTAATTACTGAGTTAACCTATCATACTTGGAAAGATAAAAGAGTGCCCTTATTATGCATATCTCATGTCCCTGATTTTTATGTTGCTTGTATTATCAAGGTTCTCTGCAAAATGGCAATTCCTTCGTTTTTTTTCAAGTTGTACCATATTGACTTCTGATAGACATTACATACACTTTGACCATCAAACAGAGAAGAGAAAGTACTTGTTTTTTCATCTAAGAAAGTGATTAAAGTATTGTGAAGTGTGAATACACCAAAAATCAGGGTTAGCAAATTATAAAGAACATGAACACTTTCAAATTTTCAATTAAGTGAAGTTGCTCTTTGCAAATTCTACCACATATTTAAGGTGGATGCACTCGGCTAACATTATACACATACGATATAAATGCTGGTAAATAAAGCGTTAACAATCTAGACGTATGATATATATGTTGGTATACATAGTAAAGTGTTAACATTGTAGATGCATATACACATGATATGTAAAGCACATGTAGGACACACACCACCAATTATTGATACATACACAAAACAATGTGCATCTGATATAGTATGTGGAGTAACATACATACATACATATATGCAATTAAGAAACTCATCTTGAGATAAACTTAGGGGAAACAAACCTAGTTAGCTTAGCTTAACCCTAACCTTAAAAATAGGGGCATAGGTAATTAGGCATAGGTATGACAGCAGTTGATCTTGTGAGAGGTTAAACAACAGTACAACTACAAGATCCACTTCTTTCAAGTCTTAACCAGACAAACTTTCTTCTTAAACTTGCACACCTTTTTGCCTCTTTTTATTTAAAAACTAAATTTGTTTTAAAAAATTGTTAACTTTTAATTAATTAAATTAGTTTGATGGGTGGATGATATTTCGAGGCGACACGAGCAATTCCTCGGCGTTTCCTCCCACCAATTAATTTTTGTTTACTTAATTCCCATGATGCCCTCCCTCATTTGTTGAGCACATTTTCAAACTTTGTCCAATCTATTGCACCAAGTTCCAATATTTTTTCAGGCTAATATTAACATTATTGTGTTTATTATAATTAGAATATCATAATATTTCACATTAAAAAACAAAAAGATTTAGGAGTATTATTATTGATGTATGATGTATTGCGTTTATTAGTATTTCAAGTTTGTAGAGTTTGTGCCAAAGCTTAAGTTTGTTTTTGAGCACCCCAAATTACAATTTGTGAAATTTAGATTGTAGTTTTTCATTCCAAGTGACTTATAAAATCGAGAATTAAACCTTTCGTCAATCATGATGACATCTCAAAATCTTCAAAGAAAAACTAAATACTTAAAAGATGCTTCATGTTAGTAGGATTATGTTAGTCATATCTAGCTAAATATTTGCTAACCTCAAATAGTCGAACAATGACATCTCAATTTAAATTTTGTCAAGATGAGATTTTGAGATAAAATTGTAATTTGATACTAAAAGGAAGCACGTATAAGTTTGTACACTAATAATAGTTAAATACTATTGGTTAATATGTATGTTTTATAGGCTTGAAGTGTAGTTAGAACTTACTTTATTTCGTATAATGTTATATAAAATCGTTAGTTCAAAACCACCATATTACTATAATATGTGTAAATGATTATCAATACAAACATACATTCGTCACATTTGAAATTTGCAGCATCACTTGACTATCAAATGATCAACACCTTATATTATGTACATAACATTAGTGTAAGTGTGAAACAAGTCTGTCTCGCATGAATTACTTTATCATTTTAGTAATTACAATCTCAAATAATGTGGTGATCTCAACAAACTCATGTAAATCAAATTTTTCCTTAGAGATAAGGAACTTGGTACACAATTATAAAAGATATGGTTGTCTTTACTAACTAACTAGATTTGATCATACTAAAAGTAGTGATGCCATTGGAGGTGATTTGCATGAAACTTACAACAGCAATTGGCTCCTAAAGTGGCAGTCAAAGTTTAGTTTCTTGCATTTTTTTGACATTAATGAAAGCAGACACCTCCTCATTGGCTTGATTTGGTTGCTGACCACTAGAACTCTTTCCAGCTTACTAACTGACACGTGTCATTCATTTTCACAACTATTGCAACTTTTTTTTTTTAGAAAAAAGTAAAATTAAAAACATTGATTTTTTTTTTTTTTTGAGAATAAATCGTCAAAAGACTCAGTAAAGTGTATTTAATTTAAGTAGACTGCAATTTTATCTCTTCACACAATTTCCCAAAACCAGAGAAATAGAGTGAGAAATAAAGGAGAATTTGAATAAGTTAAATCAGAATTTCATCACTATTATTTGTATCTAATTTTGAATTTTTAATATATAAATAAATCTAACAATATGAGAGGATTTTATTCAAAATTTTACTCCATAATAAAGAGAGAAAGAAGAGAGAAAAAAAAAATGTTTCCTCCACAATAATAAATTTCTAAATTTGGTCTTGCTAGATTGATCTTGGTGATAATTACTGTGCAATTCAGAGCAGAGAAGCTGCCACCAGGTCATTGTTTTCTTCTTGTAATTTACGTGCGTTCGTTTTTTTGTTATAATTAAATATAATATTACGTATGCGTTAGAATTAAAATTGATTGTTGAAAGAAAGGGATACTAACCTCGTTATATATACAAGTATAATTTTATATCATGTTAGTATGAGGATATGATAGTCTTATTTATAAATTTAGTATTCCGTAATTCTTTTGCTTTAAGGGATGATATTGTAGGCCGGTATAATTATAATATTTGTGCTCAATTATAGCTAACTACATGGAAAACCCTATGTTACATACACCAATATGTAACGCGCAGTGCATTTTTCGTAATTTAATTAGTAGTTCATATTGTGAATGATAGATGTCTCTCAATTTTTGATGATATCCAATTGAATTTATGCTATAATAAAATGCCCTTAGTAAAAAGATAAGACAAAGAGTAATTTAATTATAGCACAAGCATCACATTTAAATATTTAATGATGCAACTTTACTAAACAAGAGTAGAATAACAGCAAAATCATATAATTAGGCATGGAATAGTAAAATAAGGCATTCAATTCTTAGAATTATGTCAGGATTCTGACACGCATTTTGTAGAATCATTTTTATAATTTTGACCCTTAAATTATGGGTTCTTTTATAATTTTGCGGCAGTTTATTTATAAAAAGATTATTGACAGTGTTCATATATACAAGTATATGTGTATAGATTAGAGGTTAATTATTTGTATATACAAGTATATGTATATAAATTAGAGATTAATTATTTAATTTTGCATGCATATCATGTTATGTAATGTTCTGATTAAAAGGGTGATTTAAGAATAATATGAACAAATCTAGCTAGTTCAGTATATATAAAGCTTCCCACGCCAATAGCTAGGGGTTCTGCTACTTGGGGAAATGTTATCAATTTGATCAGTGGAATGAAAAAGATGCATTATTATAAAATTTACGACTCTTATACAATAAAAATATAAAATGGAAATAATTAGTTTCCAACTTTTAAGCCGAAACATTTAAAAGAAAATACATACGTAATATATTTTAATAATCTATATAATATACTTTGCACCAATTATATCACATCTATATGAATCCATTTTATGATATGTATCACGTTCTTTGTAAAAATATACACTCGTACTGTAATAAATATAAAACCATGAGTCGAATCATGCAACTAGATAATAATATTAACAATGAAATACTTTTCCTACTTATAGGTAATTTAAGTTGTTGTTAATGTTATATGTACATGTAGTTACATTTTAGTACATTTTATGATATAGGGTAGTTTTTTAAACAATTGTATCACATATTTATTCTATAATATGAAAGCTATGCAAAACATAAAATTGATAGTATCTACATTAGGGTAGTGAGACAAGCAATAACATAAGATAAATAGTTATGTTATTTTGTCTCTAATTAGGCGTGGTAGGATTTGATGGAGAAGCTTGTAGTTTGTAGGAGACATGCATGCATTGGATTCTTATTAATAATAATAATTAATTAACTATAAATAAATCACTTAAAAATTAATTAATTAAGTACTTGTAAATTAAGTAGATTAAATTAATGAGGGCTTCACCTTTGACGATCGCGGATTTCAATTAGGCAGTCAACAGATTTCCTACTTGGGAAAATCAAAATGAAATCCTTTGAACTTTCTTAAATTCTCTCTTTTTGAATCTAATTTAATTTAATAAAAATCTTACGAGTAACATTTTTTTAGTTTTAATTTGTTACTTTTTCCTAAGAAGGGAACAGTTCATGGTTGTGTTGTTTTGAATAAGAGTAAAAATTACTCCTTTATTTGCAGTTCTTTGAATATTTAATATGTCGGAGTTTATTTAATTTTTAATTTGGTTTTAAAATAATTGACGTCCGTACGCACACATCTTCAACCCATGCAAAGCACTCGGGGATCTACAATTTTGGCCTTTGGTGTGGGTGCCTATTCAAGAGATCTCCTTATGCCCTATTTACTCTTAATTAGACTAGTTACTGCGTTTTTATTTCGTTCTTAAATAAAACTCTCATTTTTACCACCTAGGCATCATGGTATTGTCCATTAATAATACAAATAATTGTATTAGGTTTTCTATTTCGGTCATCATGCCATAGTAATTATTACAAATACGGAGTATTTCGTATTTTTAATACTTACACATATATTCGTTTAAAATATCAATACTAAGTTATTCTAAATGCAATAATAACCAATAAATTTTTTTAAACTTGGACTTAATTTGACTATAATTGAAAGTAGACTTAAATTTGAGCATAATTGAAAATTGTTATATGGTTAATACTCTATAAATAGAATTATATTAATTTATGAAAAGTAAAAAAACATTTTTCCTCTACTAAATAAGAAATATTCAACAGATGATTAAACATTATTAGAAAGAGATATCTCTTCATTTGTTCCTAATTACTCTCTCCATCATCATTTATACTTGTATCTTTTAAATTTTACTCGTAACTTTTTTGTGATACAATAACCATTCAATTAAGAGTATGTGTTGACGAATAAGCTTAGTCACTAAAGGATAAAAATATAGACAGATATTTTGGGAGAGAAAGTCGGTTACTTTGCGTAGACAATAGTTGAGATAGGGCTAAGAATTAAGAGAGAGAGTGAGGATTTGCTGAGAGTGGGGAATGCTGGGGTTTGGGGTGTCATTTATTGCACTCTACGAGGTCGAGAGTTCCAACACTTGATCAACTTGCTTCGACATTTTTTGCAAAATTTATAGCTTTAATTAGAAAATTTAATTAAACTATCATCAACAATTAGTATTATTCTTAATTCATTCCCACCTCTTGCTTTAATTACTTCTGTATTATTCTTATTATAGTAACTTAATTTGTCTCTAGTTACTCTCTCATAGCTTCTTAAAATATACTCATAATAAGAAAAAAAAAATTACAAGAAAATAATATACGAGTATTATTAAACTATATATAGCACTTTAATTTATTAACTACTTAATTATATGTGGATGATCAACTAGTTTACTTGGTAAAAGATTTGAGAAATGATGTTTTAGTAATTAAAGTTAAATTTCATGTACATCATTTAATTTGCACTTCTTATAACTCTGTTTTTTTTTTTTTTTTTTTTTTTTAAAATCACTAATTAAGAGTATATCGTATATGTGACATGAAAAACACGTATATTTGCTATTTAATAATGTAGGGATTTACGTAGATCAATAAATTGCAATATTAATTCAAAAAAATGGAGTAAAATTTATTATGATATCAAAGTGACTAGTATAAGTTTAAGGATAATTTGAACGTCTCACATAATAATAAGATAGTGAGAAATGGTATAGTCCCTTATGACATGCTCGAGTTTAGATAAAAGGGATTGGAATTTTGCAGTTGGACTTGCAGGTTTGTCATAACACAAAATAAGTCTGAGGTGGAACTACCAATTTATCAGCAGCAAGACACGAATGTATCTTCATATTTAATTAATCAGTTTATTTTTTTTAATGTTGGATTAATTATATATAAATACATTAGTATATATTAAGATCATCAAAACCCTTCTCCCTCTTCTTAATAGTTAGATCAGAGCTTTGGAATGTGGAGTATCCAAAACTACTACTTAGACCACCAAAAAAAGTCTTTTTTTTTTTTTTAAAGACTTCAACAACAACTTCAAGCTACAAATATATTGGTATTGCCAAAAATAATATCCACTTTAATTTTGTTCTTGAAATTAATCAAACACTTAGCTTTAATTTCTCAAGCATATTTAGTACCATGCATTTCTTTCACTTTTCTTCTCTTTTTCCTCTCTTTCCTCCCTCTCTCTCTCTCTCTCTCTCCTTAAATCTAGAGAGAGAAAGTGAGTAGTTAAGTAGAGAGGTAGTACTATATATGGTGTAAAACTGTAAACCCTAATCCTTTTTTCTTCTTCTTTTTTTTTTTTTAGGATTTTTTTGGTAATTAATCTTTAAACTTCATCATATACTCTATTATAAATATGCTAGTTTTTGTTATATTAAATTACTTTCATCTTATATTTTTATTTGTTGATTTGTGATGCAGGAAGGTTTAATTTGGTGATGCTTATTAAGCTCAAGTTATTATCATCAAGAAAGTGGTGAATTACAAAGTGATTAAGCTTAATTATTAGTGTAATAGTGGAAGATTATAAGTTTATAACTATTTTATGAGCTCAATGAATTCAAACAATTGGCTATCTTTTCCTCTTTCTCCTACTCATCCTTCACATCTTCAATCCACCAATTCACAACCTCATCAACAATTCTCCTTAGGCCTTGTCTCCGACATTGACAACCCCTTCGGCCAAGCTCAAGGTAAACCTTATATTATTTTACGGATTAATTAAGTATATATATAATGAGTGCGTAATTATTAATATCTTTATCTATATCTATAAAAAAAAATTTCTGATCCTAAATAATTAATTGTTGTCAATTTTATTTTTTTCAATGTCGAATTTTAAATATATACATGTAGCTAGTACATAACTAAATATACAAGGTTCAAATATAATCCAATACCATCAATAAGCTCATTTACTATCACTAAAAGTGTATAATTTGTTGTACAAAATGCTAAAAATGACAATTTTTTGCATTTTCTTTATCTTTTTACTAGACTAGTACTTAAATGACTCTTAACTTTTTTTTTTTTTCTTTTTTTTGTTCATAGAATGGAACTTGCTCAACTCACAAGGCGGTAACGAGGTCCCTAAGATAGCAGATTTCCTAGGAGTAGGAAAATCGGAGAGTCACCATGATTCGCCGGATCTTTCAGCGTTTAGTGACATGGGCCAAGGCAGTGAATCAGATTATCTATTTTCCGGCAATAACGGGTTACTCGCGGTGCAAAACACCGTGGCAGCAGCTAGTAACACTAGCGAATATGATCAATACCAAGATAACTCGAATAACTGCTTGCAATCATTAACGTTATCTATGGGAAGTAGTGGGCAGCAACAGCAACAACAGCAGCTACAACAACCTTCTAGCACTAATAATTGCGAAACGAGTGGTGACAATGTTAGCACCGCAGCCACTGGGGCTGCCTCGACTGCTGCCACTGTCACCACCGCGATTACTCCTGTGGTTGAGGCTACTCCTAGGAGGACACTTGATACTTTTGGTCAAAGAACTTCTATTTATAGAGGTGTTACTAGGTAATTATTATTCTTTTAGCCTATCGGTTAAATATATATAGACCATTAGCAATTATGTACCTTTCAACATCAACAAAATTACAATTATAAAGTAGAGGTATAGACGGTCCATTTTCTTATAAAATCTATGTGAGGTTGTTAGGATAATTTTTTTTTTCTTTCTATAAATTAACTGTTGTCCCTCATATTAATCGAATAATTGGATGGTCTAGTAATTGAAGAGGAATATTGCGCGCTCACAAAAATATGTCAATATGGATTCGTTTTATTTTATGTTTATGTTACACTCGTGTTATTTATGGTACGTAGAGTTAATTAGAAAAATGGTAGCACAGGCATAGGTGGACGGGAAGATATGAAGCTCATCTTTGGGATAATAGTTGTAGAAGGGAAGGACAATCAAGGAAGGGTCGTCAAGGTAATTTTCTTTATCTTTCCTTTTATTATTTTCAACGTTACAATTTTTTCTTTTAATCTGAGGAGTTTTTCCGAAATCTAACAATAATATATATGTATGCTAATGCTAAGGATTATGCATTTTGATCGATCTAATCCCAAATTTATACTTTATTATAGACTAATTATCGAATGTTACTAACTTATTTTTGTTTTCCTGGTTGATAACCATGCATGTTGGACTGTAATTGGTGGTATCAATTTTGACGTACGTACACTTTCCTGCAGTGTATCTTGGTGAGTAGAAATAAGTTACTCTTAAATCAAATAAATTAAATGCCTTATATATTACTCTTTTCTTCACTTCAAAGAACAAAAATCGGATGTACAACAACGTATAACAACGTGTGATATGTAACAGGAGGGTACGATAAGGAAGAGAAGGCCGCAAGGTCTTATGATCTAGCTGCAATCAAGTATTGGGGAACTTCTACCACCACAAATTTTCCAGTTGAGTTTCTTTCAATAATTACTTGCTCGTTATTATTTGCTATCTTATATATTTTTCGATGTATAACTAGTAAAAACTAGAGTTAAAACATATTCCTGGGCCTTAACCATACATATTTAACTATGAGAAGGACAGTTGCACGTAACATAATTAATCCTTATTCACTTATATGGAATGCTTATGCATTTTTTTACTTCTTGTTGGTCAACGACAATGATTGACTGTAGATAAGCAACTATGAGAAAGAAGTAGAGGACATGAAACACATGACTAGACAGGAATTCGTAGCAGCTATTAGAAGGTATGTGAATTTAGATTATAATTCCATGTTAAGTATGTATGGCAATGTTGATTATTTGCAATAATTACTTCAACCTTTTCTCATTAATTATCTGCTTATTTATATAATTATCTTGATGGTATTATAGGAAGAGTAGTGGATTCTCTAGAGGTGCATCAATTTATCGTGGTGTAACGAGGCACCATCAACATGGGAGATGGCAAGCAAGAATCGGAAGAGTAGCGGGGAACAAAGATCTCTATTTGGGAACTTTTAGTAAGTATTCCGTAATTTCGTAAATATTTATTGTCATGTACGAATGTGTTAGACTTTACCAACTAAGCTAACTGATAACCTCTATTCAGGCACAGAAGAGGAGGCCGCGGAAGCTTATGACATTGCGGCCATCAAGTTTAGAGGCCTCAATGCTGTGACAAACTTCGACATGAGCCGGTATGATGTGAAGGCCATCCTAGAGAGCAACACTCTACCCATAGGAGGAGGAGCCGCCAAGCGCCTTAAGGAAGCTCAAGCCATAGAATCTTCTAGAAAGAGGGAGGAAATGCTTGCCCTAAGCAATAGTACTTACCCATATGGAGCTAGTAGCTCAACCTCGAGTCGGTACGGGGCCCACCAACAAGCCACTCATGCTTACCCTTTACTACCTTACCACCAACAAGACACCCAACCACAACCCTTGCTAACCCTACAAAACAACCATGGTCAAGAAAGTAACAACATTTCCCTTTCACATTACTCTCAAGAAGCTCAATTCTTACAATTGTACCAACAATCAAGTTACTCAAACCCTAGTAGCATGTACAATAATTATCTCCAAACTAACCCTAGTTTGCTACATGGGTTTATGAACATGAGCTCAAACTCTGGTGTAATTGATACTAACAACAATGGTAGTTCAAGTGGGAGCTATAGTGGTGGCGCCTACCTTGGAGGCGGGGCCGGGATCAATGGCATGGGGTCCGCCTCCTCGACGAGCAACCCTGTGGGACCCGGTGATACTCATGAGCCTCTTGCATTGGTGAAGGTGGACTATGACATGCCTTCTGATGGTGGTGGTGGAGGAAGCTATGCAGGGTGGTCGACGGAGACGGTCCAAGGATCGAATAATGGAGTCTTTGCAATGTGGAATGAGTGATGACCAAATAACTCAGGGGTGATTTTGCATTGTTAGTTGACAAATTTTTGCATGGAGGAGGGGGAATATGAAGGGATTTAGACTTACATTTTTAGTTGCTTTATTTTTATTTTTCTTGTGTTTTAAACTTGGAATCAAGCCTTATAAAAAAAAAAAAAAAAAGAAAAGAAAAACAAAAGCTAAATGTTAAGCGGATGGATAGGTTCATTTTCAATGGGAAAGCTAAATGAGAGATTATGGTTCACTTATATATTCATTTTGCAACTTTTACTTCATTTTAATGTTTGATAAATGTCCATTTTCTAATAATTTTAGCACCCTGTATATTAATTTCTTCAATTCCAAGATATTTCAAGTGAAATTTTGTAGATGGCCAAAATGGTGTACAAGTATAAGCAATTTAAAAGTAAAAACCATGTTATAAGAAATGATAATAGAAAATTTTGACTTTTATCACCTCCAAAAACAATATATGAGTATTTGTTTTTACCCCCTACATAAAAATAGTCTAATATCTAGCATGTAGAGTGTATATTGTCTACCTAGAACTAATGTTGTTGGAAATAATATTAGAAAACTTTAACTTAGGAGGTGTCGGACCCGGTGTCGGAATTTCACGGAATATTACAAGGTGCATCCCGGGGTCTGATAATATAGTTTCGAGCCAAATATGACCATTATCAGGCTACGTACAGGCCACATGAAAACTTATAGCCAATGCAAGAGGCGTGTACGAAAACGAGTAGATTAACCGTTTTAAGGCATATTGGATGGTTCCACTCACCCAATTGGACTCCTGGAGGGTATTAGGGACCATGGTAAACATCTCGGCAACTTTTATTTCCAGACGAAAAAAGGTTAAAAAAATTTCAAAATTGAAGGCTATTATCCACGCTTTTTGAGGAATTTTTGATGTTATAGGGTCCGGTGGCGAAAAGTCTTGAGACCCTAAGGGATACATTTTAGGGTCATATAATGACTTTTGGAAACATATATGACCACTATATGTTGTCAAAGATGCCCGTGGTAGGCAACATTTCACGAAATCGGTGCAAGTTTCGAACGGGTAAATTGCCGTTTTAAGACATAATGGATGGTTCCACCCACCCAATTGAACTCCCGTAGGGTATTAGGGACCATGGTTAATATCTCGACAATTTTTATTTCCGGGTGAAAAAAGGTCAAATAATTCCAAAATTGAAGGCTATTATCCACGTTTTTTGAGAAATTTTGACGTTATGAGGCCCGGCGACGAAAATTTTGAGACCCTAGGGGACACATTTAGGGTCATATAATGACGTTTGGAACCATATATAACCATTATATGTTGTCAAAGATGTCCGTGGTAGGCTTCAGTTAACGAAATGAGTGCAAGTTTCGAACGGGTAAATTGGTCGTTTTAAGACATATTGGATGGTTCCACCCACCCAATTGCACTCTTCGAAGATATTAGGGACCATGGTAAAAATCTCGACAATTTTTATTTCCAGACGAAAAAAGGTCAAAAAATCCAAAATTAAAAGCTATTATCCACGTTTTTTGAGAAATTTTTGAGGTTACAGGGCCCGGTGGCGAAAAGTCTTGAGACCCTAACTCCCTAAGGGATACATCTTAGGGTCATATAATGACGTTTGGAACGGTATATGACCATTATATGTTGTAAAAGATGTCCGTGGTAAGCTTCGCTTCACGAAATCGGTTCAAGTTTCAAACGGGTAAATTGACCGTTTTAAGACATATTGGATGGTTCTACCCACCCAATTAGACTCCCGCAGGGTACTAGGGACCATGGTAAACATCTCGGAATTTTTATTTCCGGGCGAAAAATAGTTAAAAAATTTCAAAATTGAAAGCTATTATCCACACCTTTTGAGAAATTTTTGATGTTACGGGCCCGGTGGTGAAAATTCTTGAGACCATAGAGGATACATCTTAGGATAATATAATGACGTTTGGAACCATATATTACCATTATAGGTTGTCAAAAATGTCCGTGGTAGACTTCAATTCACGAAATCGGTGCAAGTTTCGAACGGGTAAATTGACCGTTTTAAGACATGTTGTATGGTTACACCCACCCAATTGGACTCCCGAAGGATATAAGGGACCATGGTTAATATTTCGGCAATTCTTATTTTCGGGCGAAAAAAGGGAAAAAAATTTCAAAATTGATCCACGTTTTTTGAGCAATTTTTTAGGTTACAGGGCCTGGTGACGAAAATTCTTGAGACCTTTAGGGGATACATCTTAGAGTCATATAATGGAGTTTGGAACCATGTATGACAATTATATGCTGTCAAAGATGTCCGTGGTAGGCTTCAGTTTACGAAATCGGTGCAATTTTCAAACGGGTAAATTGACCGTATTAAGACATATTAGATGGTTTCACCCACCCAATTAGATCCAGGATGATATTAGGGACCATGATAAACATCTCGACAATTTTTATTTTCGGGCGAAAAAAGGTCAAAAAATTCCAAAATTGAAGGCTATTATTATCCATGCTTTTTGAGGAATTTTTGAGGTTCTAGGGCCTGGTGGCGAAAAGTCTTGAGAACCTAAGAGATACATCTTAGAGCCATATAATGACGTTTGGAACCATGTATGACCACTATATGTTATCAAAAATGTCCGTGGTAGGCTTAAGTTCACGAAATCAGTGCAAGTTTCGAACGGGTAAATTAACCGTTTTAAGACATGTTGGGAGGTTCCACCCACCCAATTGGACTCCCAGATGGAATTAGGGACCATGATAAACATATAGGCAATTTTTATTTCCGGGCGAATAAAAGGTCAAAAAATTCCAAAATTGAAGCCTATTATCCACGTATTTTGAGCAATTTTAGAGGTTACAGGGAGCGGTGGCGAAAGTTTTTAAGACCTTAGGGGATACATCTTATGGTCATATAATGACGTTTGGAACCATATATGACCATTATATGTTGTCAAAGATGTCCGTGGTAGGCTTCATTTCACGAAATCGGTGCAATTTTCGAACGGGTAAATTGACCGTTTTAAGACATATTGGATGGTTCCACCCACCCAATTGGACTCCCGGAGGGTATTAGGGACCATGGTAAATACCTCAGAAATTTTTATTTCCGGGGCAAAAAAGGTCAAAAAATTCCAAAATTGAAGGCTATTATTCACGTTTTTTGAGGAATTTTTGAGGTTATAGGGCTGGTGGCGAAAAGTCTTGAGACCCTAAGAGATACATCTTAGGGTCATATAATGACATTTGAAACCATATATGACCATTATATGTTGTCAAAGATGTCCGTGGAGGCTTCAGTTCACGAAATCGGTGCAAGTTTTGAACGGGTATTGACCGTTTTAAGATATATTGGATGGTTCCACCCACCCAATTGGATTCACGGAGGGTATTAGGGACCATGGTAAACAACTCAACAATTTTTATTTCCGGACGAAAAAAAGGTCAAAAAATTCCAAAATTGAAGGCTATTGTCCATGCTTTTTGAGCAATTTTTGAGATTACAGGTCCTGGTGGCGAAAAAACGTGAGACCCTAGGGGATACATTTTATGGCCATATAATGATGTTTGGAACCATATATTACCATTACAAGTTATCAAAGATGTCCTTGGTAGGCTTTAGTTCACGAAATCGGTGCAAGTTTCGAACGGAATATTGACCGTTTTAAGACATATTGGATGGTTCTACCCACCCAATGGACTCCCGGAGGGTATTAGGGACCATGGTAAATATCTCGAAAATTTTTATTTCCGAGCAAAAAAAGGTCAAATAATTCCAAAATTGAAGGCTATTATCCACGCTTTTTGAGGAATTTTTGATGTTACGGGTGGCGAAAAGTCTTGAGACCCTAGGGGATACATTTTAGGGTCATATAATGACATTTGGAATCATATATGACCATTATATGCTGTCAAAGATGTATGTGGTAGGCTTCAGTTCACGAAATCGGTGCAAGTTTCGATCGAATGGGTAAATTGATCGTTTTAAGATATATTGGATGGTTCCACCTACCCAATTGGACTCTCGCAGGATATTTGGGACCATGGTAAACATCTCGGCAGTTTTTATTTCCGGGCGATAAAGGTCAAAAAATTTTAAAATTGAAAGCTATTATCCACGCTTTTTGAGAAATTTTTGAGGTTATAGGGCTCGGAGGTGAAAAGTCTTAAGAACCTAGGGGATACATTTTAGGGTCATATAATGATGTTTGGAACCATATTTGACCATTATATGTTGTCAAAGATGTCTGTGGTAGGCTTCAGTCACGAAATCGGTGCAAGTTTCGAACGGGTAATTTGACTGTTTTAAGACATATTGGATGGTTCCACCCATCCAATTGGACTCCCAGAGGGTATTAGGGATCATGGTTAACATCTCAACAATTTTTATTTCTGGGCGAAAAAAGGTAAAAAAATTCCAAAATTGAAGGCTATTATCTACGCTTTTTTAGGAATTTTTGAGGTTACAGGGCCCGGTGGCGAAAAGTCTTGACACTTATACTTCGTATGGTTCACTTATATATTCATTTTGCAACTTCAACTTCATTTTAAAGTTTGATAAATGTCCATTTTCTAATAATTTTAGCTCCCTATATATATTTATATTTATATATATATATATATATATATATATATATATATATATATATATATACTTCCTCCGTTTCTTTTTACTTGCAACACAGCCTTGTGGCACGTGTTTTGAGGTCGGGTTTATGTAATGTAAACGGATAAATTATTCATTATAATTTTTACAAATGATACTTAACCCTATTCTAATCTTCGTGTAAAAATTATATTGATAAAATCGCTCGTTTATCCTCACTAATCATCTCCTAAAACTGCGTGCCTAAAAGGTGTGTTGCAAGTAAAAGAAAATGGAGGAAGTATATATTAATTTCTTCAATTCAAAGATATTTAAAGTGAAATTTTGTAGATGTCTAAAATGGTGTACAAGTATATGCAGTTAAAAGTAAAAACTATGTTGTTGGTAATAATATTATGCAAGGAAAGAGTCCTAAAGGCTAACAAATTAAGACCCTCGACCTTCCAATTCCTTAATATTATTCTAGACCTTCCTAAAATACTATTGCCTCCATCCCTAAATGTAGTTCTCGTTTAACTTTTCACGGTCTACAAGACGTGTCGTAAAACGTCTATATCTCTATTTTCATACGCGTAAATATTATAAAACTTGATATTAATAAAATATACTCCCACTGTCTCTAAATGTTTGTCACGTTTGCTATTTTGGATGC